AACTTTCCCCATTGAACGGTTTTGCTATGAAGGTGGTTTCCAAAAATGGTAGGGGATCGGGCACGACGATAGCAGGCCGAAGACGAGGAAGATGACGCCCAAGTTGTAATTTGGGGGCGAGCGAGGCGTGGCAGAACTTCTTGTTGTGGCATGGCTTGCGTTGGCTAGTGGTCGCGTGGGTGGCGATGGCGCAGCAGTGACCGCAAGACGGGCGCGTGTGAGAACCGTGTTTTGCACTGCTAGCGAGGGAGAGAATTGGGAGGATGGGAAGGGAGAGTGGGGCTACGACACCCTGGGGCGAGTTATACAACTCAGAGGTGGCGGTGTGGAACCTTGATGGTGAGCATTTGGGAACATTCCTTCATGCAGTTTTACTTCTTCTGTTGTCTGGTTTATTCAGGTTGGATATATGTGATCTGCGTTTTGACACGTTTTGCTCAATTACTATTATTATTATCCTTTTATTTTTTTAATTCATTCACACTATTTTTTTCAAATTTATGAACCTTTTATATTTGCAAAAAAACGCAATATTTTCTGAATTCATGAACAATTCAAATCCAAGAAGTTCTTAAAATTTCTAAAGTATAATTCCAATTTTTAAATTTTCCCAAATTCGTGGGGGCTTTTCCAATATTTTTGAACTAAATTTCATGAATTTTTTCAAATTCTTAAAAAAGTCATACTGTTATTTTTTAAAAGGTAACATTTTTTTAACTTATGATTTTTCCCACATTCATGAATTTTTTTCAAGAGCTTTCCGCCAACGCGCAATTGAGCAAGCAAAAAGCGGGTGCGGCTATGTCTTGTTTCTAGTGGGACAAACCGCACGCTCGCCTGAAACGACAAATAATGGGCAGCCCAGTGACGATGTTTGCTTGATCGGTTTTCGTTCATTTGTTCACTCGAAGTCGTTTTTTCTTTTCATTTTTTTCATTTTTCCTATTTTTTATATTTTCGAAAAACTGAAATACACATATTCCAAAAAATACTTAAGTTTGAAATATGTATGTGCAATGATAAAATATGGCTGGTGCACTATAATTTTTTTTATACTTCAAATATTATAAATAAATATATTACAAAAGACATTACCAAAAAATTTGAAACAAAATGCTACCTAGGCATTTAAAAAATGCTAAATGCATAACAATTTTTTTCTCATGTATGTAAAAATATATAAAGAAAATATAAATGTGTATGAAAAAAATTGATTATGTATTAAAAAATGTTAATTAAGCATTTGAAAATGGTACATGTGTATAGAAAAATATTTACCATATATTCATTTTTGTATCTTTATTTGAAAAATATTAATCAAGCATTTGAAAAAAATTGAAACAACAGGCGCTCCACACAAATTTTCAATAAGAAACGCCACAAATTATAGTTGTTTCAAAGATACACAAATCACAAGCAAATCACTCTAATCTTGTAGGTGCCCAAAACAAGGAAACAACCACAAGGACATCAACTAACATCACTACATCACATGGGGGGACAAAGCACCCTAAAGGCCAAGCCGGCAAAACAAAACGCGCAAGAGAGTATCGGGATCTTAACATGTTCATCAGGCTCCCTCTATTCTCCTTGTAATTGGCGCCCATCCATGCTTGCAAGATAAGACATTTTAATCATCTTTCTGGTCATCTCAACACCCTCCTCGAGCCTTTTCCGTTCTTGGACCTTCTACTGAATCACCCATGCGCATATATGTTACTATATGATTACACATAATGAATATAGTTGCGGGAGGGTCATAACATAATTTCTGTCAAAAGAAAGCATCATTTCTAGTTTTCTGGATTGTCCAAATAATAACAACAGCCCCACTAAAGCACGAGCTTGTGTTGCTTAGTTGGAAAATAAGCCAACCAATCCCCAAACATATGATCTGCCCCAGAGGGGGTTATTCTGAGATTCATGGAAATATCAATCACTGCAAGACAAATTATGCAAAAGAACACCTAAACAATAAATGATCAATTTTACCTTTTACATTTGTGCGCTCAATTTGGATTCATATGTTTGGCATATTCACTATATTTTCTAGCGCCCACTTGTATAAGATATTCACGTCAACTTAACGAGGCCCACCACGTGATCCCATCTCTCTCCAAAATCAAGTACTCCAATGAAGTTCGCCGTGAATTCATTTATTTTACCGATTACAATGAAAGTGAGAACTCAATAGAACTGTATTTATTGCAATAAAGTTCATATTTCATTGTTTTTTTACGGGTTTCACTTTTTTGTTTTTTCTGAAAAGCATATATCTTTAATTTTATTTTATATTCCGATCTCATTGTTGGGGAACGTTGCAGAAAATTAAAATTTTTTCTACGGTTTCACCAAGATCCATCTATGAGTTCATCTAAGCAACGAGTCAAGGGAGTGAGTTTGCATCTACATACCACTTGTAGATCGAGTGCGGAAGCGTTCAAGAGGATGGTGATGATGGAGTCGTACTCGTCGTGATTCAGATCACCGATGACCAAGTGTTGAACGGACAACACCTCCGCGTTCAACACACGTACGGTATGGGTGACGTCTCCTCCGTCTTGATCCGGCAAGGAGGAAGGAGAGGTTGAGGAAGACAGCTCCACCGGCAGCACGACGGCGTGGTGTTGGTGGAGAAGCAGCACTCCGACAGGGCTTCGCCAAGCTTGTGACGGAGAAGGAGAGGTGTTGGGGAGGGGAGGGGCTGCGCCTTGGCTTGTGTATGCAGCCCTCCCCTCACCCCTCTATTTATAGGGGAAGGGGCAAGGGGGGCCGGCCCCTCTAGATGGGATCTAGAGGGGGGGCGGCCAGGGAGGGGGGACTTGCCCCCCAAGCAAAGGGGGGCGCCCCCTCTAGGGTTCCCCCCCCAACCCTAGGCGCATGGGCCCAAAGGGGGGGGGCGCCCAGCCCTCCAGGGGCTGGCTCCTGCCCCACGCAGCCCATGTGGCCCGCCGGGAGGGGTGGCCCCTCCCGGTGGACCCCCGGAACCCTTCCGGTGGCCCCGGTACAATACCGATATGCCCCCGAAACTTTCCGGTGTCCGTTTGACAACTTCCCATATATAAATCTTTACCTCCGGACCCTTCCGGAATTCCTCGTGACGTCCAGGATCTCATCCAGGACTCCGAACAACATTCGATAATCACATACAAATCTTCCTAATAACCCTAGCGTCACCGAACCTTAAGTGTGTAGACCCTACGGGTTCGGGAGACACGCAGACATGACCGAGACGGCTCTCAGGTCAATAACCAACAGCGGGATCTGGATACCCATGTTGGCTCCCACATGCTCCTCGATGATGTCATCGGATGAACCACGATGTCGAGGATTCAAGCAACCCCGTATACTATTCCCTTTGTCAATCGGTACGTTACATGCCCGAGACTCGATCGTCGATATCCCAATACCTCGTTCAGTCTCGTTACCGGCAAGTCACTTTACTCGTACTGTAATGCATGATCCCGTGACCAAGCACTTGATCACTTTGAGCTCATTATGATGATGCATTACCGACTGGGCCCAGAGATACCTCTCCGTCATACGGAGTGACAAATCTCAGTCTCGATCCGTGTCAACCCAATAGACACTTTCAGAGATACCTGTAGTGTACCTTTATAGTCACCCAGTTACGTTGTGACGTTTGGTACACCCAAAGCACTCCTACGGTATCCGGGAGTTACACGATCTCATGGTCTAAGAAAGAGATACTTGACATTGAAAAAGCTCTAGCAAAACAAACTACACGATCTTGTGCTATGCTTAGGATTGGGTCTTGTCCATCACGTCATTCTCCTAATGACGTGATCCCGTTGTCAATGACATCTGATGTCCATAGTCAGGAAACCATGACTATCTGTTGACCAACGAGCTAGTCAACTAGAGGCTTACTAGGGACGTATTGTGGTCTATGTATTCACACGTGTATTACGATTTCCGGATAATACAATTATAGCATGAATAAAAGACAATTATCATGAACAAGGAAATATAATAATAATGCTTTTATTATTGCCTCTAGGGTATATTTCCAACAGTCTCCCACTTGCACTAGAGTCAATAATCTAGTTA